ACTCGAAATATTCCTTCCTTACATATTATTGGTGTGTGGAGCTACGTATAACCGTGTTAACCAACTCACCAGCGAACTCAAAAATGACCTTGTCCTCTAGTACGTGATTGTATGCTTCACATTTTTAATAACGTTTTGATTCTCCTTAAAACTGAAGCCCCTCACAGTGGCACAGCAGTATGTCTATGGACTTACAACGCTAGAAACCGAGTTTCGATACCCGTGGTGGACAGAGCGCAGATAGCCCATTGTATAGTTTTGTGCTGAATTACAAACAAACAAACCTTAAAACTGCTTTTATTATATATCGTTTGTGTGTGTGTGTGTGTTAGTTCAAACCAGTTACGCTATACTGTAAATATTTTGGAAAATTATCGGTAAACGTAACACTTAATATCGTAATAGTTTGATGGCTAGCCTTATAAATACTATATACTATTGTTTAGTTGTTTTTAAACTTGAATGAAACCTTATGCAACACGTGTTTCAACCAGGCAGCAACACCCGCCGCCAAGTGTCTAGTCCGTACTTTTTTTTAATCGAATAATTGAATTGACTGCTACTCTTATAACAGCTGAAAATGCGGAGAGTATTCAGCATCATGTCGGCTCAAACCTTGGACTCGCAGTCCGGAAGGCTAATTACAAGGCCAGGCTCGGAATTTTCATGATTAGGTAAAAATAATACAATTAACCAAATTCCACGCATGTGACTGAGGCTATCCAAGGCTTGTTAAAGTTCATAAGTCACGATTCAAAAATATATTTGTGATCAACGAATACCATGTGTGAAATACGCTTCGTGTTATATTTTAATAAAATCGTTAACAAAAGGAGAAAAAGTACACTGAAAATGAACTTGTACGTCGAGAACGAAAACCGCACGTTTTCCAACAGCTGCTGAGTGCGACCGGTTTCAAAATATACAACTGCTGTGTTTATGACTCACATACTTTAAACAATACTCCATTTACACGTGGCAAACGGACTTAAGGATAATGGATCATGGGGAGACGTAGTGTTTGGTTTATTACCTTCATGGCAGGTACAACAACTACATGCGAGGTGCAACGTTAGAGCCACTGGTTTAAGAATTCTTTAGTATAATCAAACACTACAATCATATAAATAAAAAAAAACATTTCTAATTTTGCATTTATTGACTATAGGGAAGGGCAACTAGTCAAGATCACCCACCGCCAACTCTTCGACTACTGTTGTCTGATCGAATAGTAAGAATTAACTGTCAATCTTATAGCGTACCGACGACCTCCAAGAGCAAAAAAAAACATTTCTAATTTTGTATTTCTAGACTATAGGAAAGGGCAACTAGTCAACATCACCCACCGCCAACTCTATGACTACTCTTGTCTGATCGAATAGTAAGAATTAACCGTCAATCTTATATCGTACCCACGACCTCCAAGGGCGAAAAAAAAAACCTTTTGGTGGCAGGTCTGCTAGCTCGTTGCCTCCCCTCTGATCACAATTTCCAGATTAGGTACGGTAGTATCCAAATGTTATAGTGTTCTTTGACCTGATTGTTTAGCCCACGTGCACATAAAGTGTCGTCCAAGTTGAAAAATTACAATCACAGTTTCTCTTGCTGTGAGCGTCTTTAGCTATTCATTTAACTTCAGCTCTCTTCCAGCTTAAGACTTTCAAGGTCTAGTGAAGAAATAGAGTAGCTTTTTATTGTTGTTAATATTAAGTACAAAACTACACAATGGGCTACCTGTGCTTTACCTACCGCTTGTACCAAAACCTAATTTTTAGCGTTATAAGCCCTTAATGATCAGATCAAAGATCTAGGATTCAGGTAAACCCCAGTGGCTCAGTGGTACGTCTTAAAACTTATAACGCCATAAATCGGGTTTCGATACCTGAACTTACCGCTGAGTTATCGGGGGCCAAATAGAATATCCCATTTATTTCGAACCTTCCTGATCTTTGCATTAGTTTAAACGTTATAATCGAAGTTGCAATTCAGTATGCTGGCAACTAAACCAAAATCTATCATTGTGAAATCTCCACCCCGTAGGTCAGCGGTACGCCCGAGGGCTCATAACGTTAACATCGAGATTCAATCCTTGAAGTAGTCCATTGTTCAACTTTGTTCTAAAAAAAAAACTTTTAAATTTTCAAATTTCCAACTTGACACATGATTGGTCTTTTTTTTTTTTTCATTAGTGGTACCTTTAGGGTTCTACGACATTTATTTTTTTCATTAATGGCACCTTTAGGGTTCTACGACATTTATTTATTTTTCATTAGTGGTACCTTTAGGGTTCTACGACATTTATTTTTAAATATATTTTCCTAACGAATAAGAAAATAAAAAGATTCCTAACATTCTAGTTCTTATCTAAGTTTATTTATACATTCTTATTATAACGTTTGTGTCTCAATAACTTGTTTGATTCAAATAAAACCAAAGATGTTTTTATAGAATTCACTTACTTTTTAGTCTAACAGGCGGATATAAGATACACCCGGAAACTCAGTAGTACGAGATTTCAGAATTGATAAGACTCAAAAACAATCCTAAATTTAACGACCCTTATTTGTATGATAATAAAAAATAAATCTTAATTAACTGTTCTTCTGATCAATTGGATTAAACTTGATTTCTAAGTCCAAACAAATGTTGATAAAATATTATTATAACTGCAGTTCGTATTTGACTAAACTATTATAACCTCATCAATAATCTTCTTTCTACGACGTTGCTGTTTGTAGGATGTCAAGTTTGAGTCACGGGAAGTTCTACTCATTTACATTGAGCACCTTCTAACACTTCCTTTCACACACTAATAAAACTGAGGCAGGAGATAGATTTCAAAGCCTTGAATTGTAAATTTCACGGTTACCGATGTTTTCTGACGAATGTTTTTATATTTGTTGATATTCCCTAACCAATTATTTATCATTCTTGATATTTCTCTGACTAATGGTTTTATAATTGTTGATATGTTTATCAGTGTTTTCTAATCAATCATTTTTGCAACTCTCATTGTATTCTGACCAATTATTTTATAGTTCTCATATTTTCTGACTAATGGTTCTATGGTTGTTGATATTTCTTGACCAATGGTTTTATGGTTGTCGATATTTTCTGACTAATGGTTCTATGACTGTTGATGCTTTCTGATTAACGGTTCTATGGTTGTTACTTTCTGATTAACGGTTTTATGATTGTTGATATTTCTTGACCAATGGTTTTATGGTTGTTGATATTTCTTGACCAATGGTTTTATGGTTGTTGATATTTTCTGACTAATGGTTCTATGACTGTTGATGCTTTCTGATTAACGGTTCTATGGTTGTTACTTTCTGATTAACGGTTTTATGATTGTTGATATTTTCTGACTAACAATTTTATGGTTGTTGATATTTTCTGACTAATGGTTTATGATTGTTGATATTTCTTGACCAATGATTTAATGATTGTTGATTTTTTGACTAATGGTTTTATGGTTGTTGATATTTTCTGACTAATGGTTTTATTATTGTTGATATTTCTTGACCAATGGTTTTATGGTTGTTGATATTTCCTGACTAACGGTTTTATGACTGTCGATATTTTATAAGTAATCATTTTTACAATTCTCATTGTTTTCTGACTAATGAATTTTAAAACTGGTGGTATTTTTTTGTCTATAGGAATTTCCTCTTTTTCTGAAAAAAAAATCATGAAAATGAAGATTACGTCAGACCGGTAAATATTGTGTATAATACATAAAAAGATAATTTTTAAGCTTCAAAACCACATACTATATATGGACATTTTCCTGCTTTTAGCAAGGGCGCCCCCCCCCCCCTCGTTTTGAAAATGAAACCAAAATAATTGCAAAAATTGGTTCTTTGAAGAGGGTTTGTTTCTTTGTTTGTTTTGAATTTCGCGCAAAGCTACACGAGGGCTATCTGCGCTAGCCGTCCCTAATTTAGCAGAGGGAAGGCAGCTAGTCATCGCCACCCACCGCCAATTCTTGGGCTACTCTTTTACCAACGAATAGTGGGATCGACCGTAACATTATAAATTCCCCACGGCTGAAAGGGCGAGCACGTTTGGTGTGACGGGGATTCGAACCCGCGGCTCTCAGATTGATAGTCGAGCGCCCCCTAACCACCTGGCCATGCCGGGCCTTTTGAGGAGGGAAGAATGTAGTGAAAGTTCATATTAAATTTAAAAAATAAGATAAAAAAGCAATAACATCTAGCAACCACTATAACAAATCTAAATAACCCATTTAACCCCTACCAGGGAAGTCCCGAAAATTCCTCGTTCATCGCGCTTCCCCGTTTTCATAATCCTGGATCCGCCATTGTTTAGTCACATGAAAAATGAAACTACCTGAGCTAGAAGCTTAGTTCGGTATTAGGGCAAACGTAACACTCGAGAGTTCACATTTTGACCGCAAATTCACTTTTTGTAAGTCATGTTAGGACAACTAACTCAGTTGATTGCTTGACTTCTGAATTTTTTTAAAAGAGCTTTTATAACTGTAAAATCTTTGTGTGGGTGTGTGTGTGTGCTTAGTGATGTAGTGATTTTTTTTTTCACGACTGCATCGTGTTTGGAAGATGATAAGTGCTTACTACATAGTTGGTATGGCTAAATTTGGTTTTACTAAGCCTAACCGTTCTCTTGTGGAAGTATCATTACCATTTGAAAATGTAAAATAGTATTTTCTTATTTCAGAGTTGGAAGGAGGGTATACTATACGACTGAGGGTGATTTGATACGTCACTCTTTAGGAAACAATTGGCGTATAACCGTAGTATCCTTGTCTGTAAAACTATTGTAAAATGCACGTTTCGTACAAGTAGTTATACAGTGTACGTGTATAAAAGGCTCTGTATAAGCATAGCTTATACGAAATAAGCTTCATGTGTAGCAGACGACGTCTATTGGAGGCGCATGCGCTCTGTGTTGTCACAGCAGGTGTAGCCGTTTACATCCTGTCTCGCGCCAGCATTCTGTGAACTATATCTTGTATAAACAACATGCACAACTGCCAAAGAACCACTTGTTAGCAGGGAACTGCGATAACATCTTCAGTTGCCGATCGATGTGGTTCACGATGAAATAGTTTTAGTTTCTGAGACTTCACCGACACGGCATGTCCTTTTCTGAAATCGGAACTTCCAAATTTCAAACCCAGCTCAGTTCTGAGCATAACGGGAACGTAGCGGAATTTTACGAGATTCCGCTTAATCCACCTGAAAATGTTTCCGAAATTCCGTTAGAAAACATCACTTCATGCTCACGCTATGACCACGTGGCCAACCTAGGTAGCCCTAACAGCAAAGTGTCGTCTAGTTCATGTGACAAAAACAACAAAGATGCGATCAGAAAAGTTACGTCTCGTAACATCAGTTTCTATGGTTACGTGTCTCACGGAAAGAAAAGTTTAGATTACACTACAGTAGTCAATTATGAAGATTCTTCAGACTTCAAGGACGAAACACCTACTAGAGCTGAGTGTGAATGTGCACCTGAAAGTTTGGCTTTCAGTGTTCAACAAATGGACGAAGCCCGACTTCGATATTTAGTGAAAGAAAATGCTTCAGAAAATAGTGTTAGGTTTAACAGTTCTAGCTGTGACGTCCAACTTCAGTCAGAGGATGTTGAAGAAGATCCCACAAAGCCTCATTTCTCTCAGCTCTCAAACATCGAGGAAGATCCCACAGAGTCTTCCTTCTCCCAACGTTTTTCACAAGAGTGTTCCATCAGTTCCTTGAATCCACCTGACTTAGAGCATTGTATCCAGAAATCCCTTGAAGATTACCAAGGGTTAACATTACCTGTCCAAACATTACCCAGAGAGCGAAAGTCTTCGTTAGTAGAAGATCTTCTTCACGAAATTTACGGTCCCCTATCCCCCTCTGATCGCCGGTCAAGTGCGGACAGCGAACATTTCACTGATGGATCGGTTACTGACTTTACATGGGCAATTAATCACTTTATGATGGGAGGCGAAAAGGGAAGACGAGCGAGGTATACTCGATCGAGTTTACTTAGTAAAGGTATGAATTGATCTAGTTTACTTAGTAAAGGTATGAATTGACCGAGTTTACTTAGTAAAGGTATGAATTGATCTAGTTTACTTAGTTAAGGTATGAATTGACCGAGTTTACTTGGTAAAGGTATAAATTGATCTAGTTTACTTAGTAAATGTATGAATTGATCGAGTTTACTTAGCAAAGGTCTGAATTGATCTAGTTTACTTAGTAAAGGTATGAATTTATCTAGTTTACTTGGTAAAGGTATGAATTGACCGAGTTTACTTAGTAAAGGTATGAATTGACCGAGTTTACTTAGTAAAGGTATG